GGACATTTTTTCTCATTAACCTTTTATTTATTACATCCATATATTTTTTTATTATTACTGGATCAGAACTGTAGAGTCTTCTATGTATAACATCCGTTGATAGTTGCGGCTTGTTTGAAGATAATTTTCCTGAAATTTTCACATATGTTCTACCATAATGGCACGAAAACATTCAGAACCTAAACTTTGTTATATGTCAAAATAAAGCTCTTATATACTACTAATAGGAACTGAAAACCGTTTTGCAATATCTTAAACCAGTTAAGATATTTCCCGGTTCAAACATGGTATGAAAAAACCAGAATTTTCACTAGTTTTCAACTTCAAACAGCTCTAGAATCGCGAAATCAGCACCAAATGACCTGAAATTTGGCATTTCTATCTACTTTTATGTCCTCTACAAGAAAAAATCACCCAAAAAGTGTAAATCGGAAAAGTCCATTTTTCAAAGTGAAAGTCCCTTTTTTTTTCATTTTGCCCCATAGTGTGTACTGATTTCGAGATAAATTGTTAAAGGCTTTTACACCTAGAGCTACATGTATATCTAGTTGTTTAGGTTTTGATGTAGTTTTTTCTGGAAGATCCTCTCCTTTTTGGCACGCCTTAATAAATTCTTTTAACATTTTAGCTCCTTCTACTTTTCCTTCTTCTTTAGAAAGGCGAAGTGCCAAGTGAAGAACTGATAACAATGATCCTTTTGCTTCTTTTAAACTGATATCTAATTCGTCCACTCTTCTACGTCGATGCTTATCGCTTGTTAGTTGTTCAAATGATTTCCTCTTGATGCCCTTGCTGGATGAAGGCTCTATGTCATGGACGATGTATTCAATCTCATCCATATCTTCATCTGTGTCAGTAACATTTTCTGCTTCATATATAGATTCTTCCTCAAAAAGAATCCCTCCACTAGATTCGCTGAAGTATCGTGAGTCAACTTCAAATTCCTCTTCATAGAAATCTGCATGATCTCTTAATGCATTATTCCAATTTGACTGATTACAAAACATTTTTGACTTTGACTTCAGCTTGTTTAATTTATTAATTAAACTTGGTTTCTGTGATTCCGCTAATTCTCTCCCATGAATTTCTTCTATTACTGCCAAACAGTACGTGTGCTGTGTTGCAAGATTTAACGTTTTGTCGCGAAGAATTTCACAGAGTGTTTTCTTCGTAAGTGTTGAATTTTGGTTCATTTTTGAAAGTGACTTGTTCAATGAAGTTCAAAACTGATATGATGTGTAGAGAGAATTTCACGAGTATATATATAAAATAGTTTCAAAACTGAGATTTTCACACCTGATAGTGACTACCAAGGGTACTTTACAAAGTTGTTAACTAGGGAAGTAAAAAGTTTCTAAATTTAATTTTTTGGCTTTATAATCTCATAAATGTCATAAATAAACATAAAAAAGTTCTAAAAAAATACTCGAGATTGCTTAAAAGTGGTATTTTTGAAAATGCAATTTTTGGGAATTTTTCAAAAACTGCGTATGTCACAATCAACAGCCCTATAAATAACCAGGACTAAGTTAACTAGCAAGTATTATATATCGTTGGATAGGTATTACATTAGGCTACAATAATCCGAAAACAGAATTAAAAAATATTTTTTCAAAAAAAAGTTATAGTGGTTTAAGTAGGGTGACAAATGGCCAAATCGATGGAGAGCACATACCCCCTATATCTCGAAAGATTTTGAAGTTTTTGAAAAATTTTCTTCACAAAATCATTTAAATTGTTATTTTTCATAAGAAAACACCAAAAAACTATTTTTAAAACTATGTTTTCGTATTTTTAAAAGAATTATTAGTTTTTGGCCAAATACTCAACGACCTACTAAAATCAACATAACTCAATTACGTTAGCTTACTTTTTCAAAGTTTATACAGTTTTGAAAACTAGATATATGGGGCTACAAAACTGCGTTTTTACTTGCCTGGAAACTCTTCATTTATGATAGTTGCGGCTTGTTTGAAGATAATTTTCCTGAAATTTTCACATATGTTCTACCATAATGGCACGAAAACATTCAGAACCTAAACTTTGTTATATGTCAAAATAAAGCTCTTATATACTACTAATAGGAACTGAAAACCGTTTTGCAATATCTTAAACCAGTTAAGATATTTCCCGGTTCAAACATGGTATGAAAAAACCAGAATTTTCACTAGTTTTCAACTTCAAACAGCTCTAGAATCGCGAAATCAGCACCAAATGACCTGAAATTTGGCATTTCTATCTACTTTTATGTCCTCTACAAGAAAAAATCACCCAAAAAGTGTAAATCGGAAAAGTCCATTTTTCAAAGTGAAAGTCCCTTTTTTTTTCATTTTGCCCCATAGTGAAGCACTTAGATTTTTTGATATCTTGATGTAGATTTGATGGTAGAATAATTTTTGAGGTGATTTATTATGTTTACTTTTTGACTAGTTCCACTTGGTGTACTTAATAACCCATTCCATTTAGACCCATTCCATTGAATATGAAAACATAATTACAAATCTTCACTGAGTTCCTTTCACATTTCTGACTCATATATTTTTACATACCAACTAAATTTAAACATTCAAATAAACAATTGTAATAACGGTAAAAAGCTAGATTATGTTGTTCACAAAAAGACCATAAGATGCAATTTTTACTGTAAACAATTCAACATCTTGACTAAATTATTCACAACTATCTTACCGTGTTATGCAGCAAAAAGGAACACGAAAGGAATTTGTTTTTGTCATTGCAAACCTGAAAAGAGAAATAAAAATCTCGTCGCAATTTTTTGCTGCTGTGCTCTTCTCATTGCTAAAGTGTCCTTGTTGACTACTTTTTTGCTATGCAACGTGCTTGTTTCTCTCAATTTCACAATTCCTTGTTTGGAATACTTTAAGTACTACACACATCCTCAATATCACTGAAATCTTAACATTGCCATACTTACTGCACTAGAAGTACTATAAATTGTTTATGATGTTGAAAATATTGAAAGCTCTTGAGATTTCTTTTGTGGATGTTAAGTTTGACGCCTACACGTACATGCACCAAGAATTGTCCTTTAAAATGCTCAACAAAATAGTCATAAACCTTAAATTTGTTTTCAAAATTGACTCTCAAATGTACTCATAATGGTGATTTCTTTTATTTCCAATACATTTAACTCTCCATTTTCCATTAGTATGCTTTCCTACTTCTAACGTTCCTAAAGTCCTCAGGATCTCATCATAGTACTTCGTCTTCCCAATATTATGTAATTATTCTCACAGTTTGCCATTACTATTTCACCCAAGCTATTCATCTTATCCACAACCCTCGAAAACGATAGAGAGAAAGAAGCATGTTGAAACCATCTCGTAATGACACAAATGTGGCTATCAGCAAGAACTAGGAAAAAAATTGTAAAATTTATTGTCGTTGAAAAACTTTTTTGTTGGTTTTAGTTGAACAAAACCTGTAATGAATGGGTTTTTTAGTCTCGATAAGGAATTCATTTAATTCTCATAGTTTTATCCATGTCCTGTCACTTTGAACACAAAAATAAAGCTTTTTTCCTTATCTTTTGTTTCATGTTTGATGTTTTATTTTTTTTTGCCACATTGCTCAAATGACATCCAAAATTCAATTATCAATTTCTGTTGAGTCAGCGATACCTGGCAGGTGATATGTTGTTTCAGACAGGACATAAAATTTTTTTCACAAATATTTTTATCAGCTTTACCTTCTTTTGTAGCATTGCATTGTGCATTAAGCTATATAAATGCAAAATATTGATGTGGTAACTGGCTGAATGGTCTTTAATAATATTTTATCAGAAGTGATAAAATTCAATCATGCTTTCAAGATTCAATTCCAAAAGTTTCATTTAGACTTCAATTTTTTATAACTTTGCAGACTACCACTGTCCCTTAACGAAAATCTGTCAAAATTCTCACAGCATTCCATATTTTTTAAACAATCTCCGTGGCAGCATTCACTTGTCTCTCATAACTTTTTTATGTTTGCTTTTTATGCGTGAAAATAAAAATAAAATTAAACATTTGTATCCAAATTGTCAGACATATAGCCAACATTAAATACATACATACTGTTTTACTGTGGGATCTGTTACAGTATCATAAATGTGTACTTATGCATGACATATGCGTTCGCAAAAAGTGTCTTGTTCTTGTGTTTTTTGTGTGCCTTTTGTGAGCAATTAATTTGTCTTTTCCATTTTTTTTTTAATTTAATATTTTTTAATGCTTTACTATGATAAAACTTGTACTTATGGATGCGGAGCTGTAAAATTTTTAATTGAAATATATTTTATATGCAACGTGCTTTGTAAAAATGCTATTAAAATGAGCTTTCAAAGGATTATGAAAGAGCTTCGAATGATTTTTATATGATATGATATACTTAATAATGATTGGTATTCACCCGTTTTTTTGAAGTTTTACAAAAAAAATGTAGAAATTAAGCAATTGCCATTGATTATATTATCACTGGGTTCATTTCGATTTGTTTTAAAATAAATATTTAAAGCTTAAAACCTTGATATGATTAAAATTTACATTTCATCCTACTATTGCTCTGCATATTCAGCAACAAAGTGCTCAAAAATATTTTCATACAGAATAAATGCTTTAAAAGCTCTTGATTATTCCATTAAAAACAAACAAAAAAGCATTGCACAAACTATAGACTCAATTCAAGCGTGCAAGTTACATACACAAAAAGTATAAATTTAAATATTTTAAAAACAATGCAAAAAGCTTTTATGAATATTGTTAACTTTCCTGTTTTACATTATTTGAATACAAAAAATGCTTAAAATTATTTTAGATAGTAGACTTGGTTACAAGCCAAACATGACGTGCAAAAAATATCGCTTTACATTTTGTGCGCACATTATTATCAACAATTTTACCATTCCATAAATTAATTTAATATGAATCTTTTTTGTCTACCTTTTTGGGTTCCATTTTTACTCAACCCGTTCTTGTGATCCAACAACTGCGTCTACTCAGAGCATTATCAACGAGAATGGTTGCGACGATGTGGTAAGTGAAAATAATAATAATAATATGATTATGCAATATTTCAAATGTCACATTAAGTCAGTGGATGGATATTATATGATTGTTGGGAGTCAATGACATTTTTGTAAGAACTTATATGATATGATCAGAATACTTGGGAAGGAGTAATTAGGAAGGTTTATATTTACAAAAAAAAAACAAAAATTTTTGAACTTTTTCAACAAAAAAAACCATCAACTACCCTATCCCTCGACATTTAGCTTCAATATAAATTCATCTCACACGTGTGAGAGGAAAATGAAGAGAATATAATATAAAGACTGTAATAATAAAAGGTCGTCTTCATTCGTGCAGGTGGTTCTTTAGTTTAATCATGATATCATCATACACTGCCAACTTGGCTGCATTTTTGACAGTTGAACGCATGGACTCACCCATTGAAAGTGCAGAGGATCTTGCCAAACAGACGAAAATTAAGTACGGAGCCTTGCAAGGCGGTACGACGGTAGCATTCTTCAGGGTAAAACTGTTTTTTTTTTTTAAATAAGTAAGATTTTTTACTTATAATTTAATTAAACTCGCAAAATAGGACTCAAACTTCTCAACATATCAGAAAATGTGGTCCTTCATGGAATCACAACGACCTTCAGTATTCACTGCAACAAATTTCGAGGGAGTTGAGCGAGTAAAGAAGGGTCGTGGTAGCTATGCATACCTAATGGAATCAACATCAATAGAATATACGATTGAAAGAAATTGTGACTTAACGCAAATTGGTGGGATGCTTGACTCAAAAGGTAAATGTTTATTACACATTCATATACATATATAATGCGGATGGAGTCATGCTCTCATGATAAACTCGTGATAACAATATTGCATAATAAATAATATAATTTAATGTGTATATCGTTAGGTTATGGAATTGCGATGCCACAGGGATCACCATATAGAACATTAATCAGCGGTGCTGTGCTCAAATTACAGGAGGAAGGAAGGCTCCATCTGCTGAAAACGAAATGGTGGAAGGAAAAACGTGGTGGTGGTGCATGTCGTGTATGTAATACAAATTATCGTTTAAAGGCATAACCATAGTAAATAAATTTTATTATATTTATGCCTTGACTCTCAATCATTTTATATGTGCGTAAAAGCCTCTCTTGTGCGACTTTTATCTATGTTTTATTTATTTCTTTTTGTGTATAAAGGACGAAACTTCTAAAACTACCTCGACAGCCAATGAATTAGGATTAGGTAAGAATGTAAAAATTATGATGCGGTTCTTTTTTTGCGGCTGCAACCCCAGTTCTACAATTAATAAGAGACTGTTTATCGTAAAATTGATAACCAATTTCCAAAAACTTGAAAAAAATTCTTAAACCCCCTTAAAACAAATCATCAGTGGTTAAAGTTGCTAACTCTCATCGAGTCCGAAAATTTTATTATGCTATTCACCACACAATTTATATTCATCAAGAATTCTATTGAATTAATTCCTCATTTTCTTTCTATCTTTCCTGTTTTCGCATCAATCAAGCAAACGTGGGCGGTGTGTTTGTTGTCCTGATGGGTGGAATGGGTATTGCCTGTGTCATAGCTGTATGTGAATTTGTCTGGAAGTCCAGAAAGGTGGCAATCGAGGAGAAGGTAATAACTAGACACGATCGACATCAGAGCTATCCGTCTCTTTTGCATTGAAAATGATTTAAATAAGTTTGTGAATGAAAAAATGAGTTAAAAAATCCCGTGAGTGATAAAAAATGATGTTGACTATTTAGAGTGAATGAAAACCTTTATGATTTTGTTATGTCCTTAGAGATTTTGGATATGAGTTTTTTCATTAAGGTTTCTTGAAAAATTGCTCGATTTCTTTTATAAAAATTGATATTTTTCAAGATTCTTAAGCACACGTAGTGGCTTACAGTTTATCACATGCTTGTAAATTCCAACCCATAAAATCATCAAAAAAAAATCGAATCAACCTTCCCACATAAATTATTCATATTTGTAATTTGGTATAAAATTAATTGAATTGTAAAAAGATTCGAAATCCAATCAAGCTCTGTCTTTCCATCTCACTCACTTACTTTATCTCTATTTATCTTGTTTATGTAATTTCAGAACAACTAGGATTCAATTAGCGACCCTGATTTGATTTCCATAATGACAAAATGATTTTCCTGAATTTTTTTATTTGATCGCAAAAATTCCCTTAATTTTTTTTATGCATAAACAGCAATCAAGTGTCGATTGTATTGTTGATTAGATATTTACTTTATTAAAAACGTTTTATTTTACGTTAAAATGTTGTTGAATTTTAGTGAAATTGAAATTTTGTACTTCCTTTATGAAACTTTATTGCATATTTAAAAAAAAAAAAACAAAATAATAATCAAATGTTTGTGAAGAATTATTGAAAATATATTTTGTCGATAATTATTTCATCTCTTTTCAACATTCTGTGCATTCGATTTAATAACTTTTTTATGGAAATCTATTAGGAGGTGAGTCGAATATATTAAATTTATATAAAATTTTTTAATCAAGAGGATCGTTTCCAAATGACAATAGACTTTAAGAAAAAACGTGACCCGAATGAAGTTTGACGGTGTTCAAGGGTTTTATAACTGTTGAATTTAGGACGCTATTAGTGAGTAATTACTAGGAAACATTTTAAACCCCTGAATCTTCAAAAGATAATAAAAAATCTTTCTTAGACATACAATTTTCATATTAATGAAAAATCAGAAAAACAGGAAAAACCAAAGAAAATAATTTAATTTATTCACGAAAATATTCTTCAATCATCACGTCCTTATAAATTCTCATTTCCGTTTTCGATTTGCGCCGTCTTCCGCTTTACGATCGAACGAAAAAGTTCGAATTACTTTTTCCATCTTTTATTTCCTCAAATACGGCAAAAAAAAAACTTTGAACGAAAAAAGCTCAAATTTATTTTTTTTTCTTTTTTCTTATTTTTTCTTCTTGTGTATTTAAAGATAAGCTTATGTTCTGAGATGGCTTCAGAGCTTCGATTTGCTTTTAAATGTAGTTCTGGTTCAAAGCAACGACAACAAAGAAGCAATCAAGAAGGTTCATCTCCAAATAATGTGTCTGATATATCAGATCGCTTCCATCCATTAGGACCACCATATTCACAATATGAATTCGATTCAAATAAGGGCCATGGAATACCATAAAGCTCTCGTGCTCAAATTTTTTATTAACATTTTTTAAAGTATCAAAAAATAAAATCTTAGGATAAAAATTTAGATTTGCTGAATGTAAGCGTGTCTGTTTGTTACTGTACACAAAAAAAGATCCATTCGGATTTCAACAAGCCTTTTTTTAAACAACGCAGCCTAAAACTTATCTGATTCAATTCCTGTTTTCTCGAATTGATTTTTCCGTACTTTTTACATATTTTATTTATGTGAGTTTATTATCCACACTGAAAACATTCAAGAAATAACAAGAGAAAAACTCGACAAGCCCATAAATGCATGAATGTAGCAGAATGTACTCATAAAACAACCTTATCAACATGTCATTATGTTGGTACCCTTCCCAGAAGAAAAATAGGAACTGATGTGGAATAAATTTATTATATAAATTGAAGGACTTCTGGTTCTGTTTTCAATGTTGCAACCTTAAAATTGGCAAATTAAAATCATGTGTCAGTTACTGAATATTTTCAATCATGTTCAAAACTCTCTGTAAATGTGCGAAAAAAAACCCACAGCACAACAAACTATAAGAAAACAAATCAAAGAATTCCAAACTCTTATTCAACAAAATTTTCAAACAAAAGAACTTACATCGAAGTGAAACAATTCCTTCTTTATTACATCCTTTATGAAATATCCAAAAGAATTTTTCCTATACATGAAGGATAAATATTTCAACTAATACTTACTTTGAAGTCAAAGAAGAAAGGAATGCAATTCAAGAAGTAAAATTTCTTAGCTATAAACAATTCTGAGAGAAAAATTGATGTCTTGAAAGATAGGAGCCGTCGATAGATAGTTGAGTGATTGACATTATTGCATGGAAAACGTGATGATTGATATTTTGGCTGCTGTGTAAATTGTCTTATTTCCATCGCACATGTTATGTTAAAAGGTTGTAAAAACTGAGTTTTTTTACATTCTACATCCGTTCTTACTTATACTTGATGAAATTTTATTTTTTTTTATGGATTTTTAAATGCAGAGAGCTACCGATGGCATTTCAAAATTACTCAAAAATGTAAAATTTTCATTGAAAATTTGTCGATTAACGTCATAAAAAAAATTTAAAAATAAAAATATATATGGGATGGATGTCACGTACCCCATATCAAACTTGTTCAACAACTAATAGTGTATTTTAAGGGTAAAAATATTAAGACTACCCATACCTCTATCCCACAATTTTTCTACAAAATAATAACTTTTAAAAATCATAAAAAATTCATAAAAATAAGAAATTTAAGGTTTGGTACTCGAAATCAATTTGATATAAAATTCTAAATTTCAAATTGATTTTTAAAGGATTAACCTGCCAAAACAATCTCATTTCTAAAGCCAAATAACGATAATGTTAATAAATCATTTTAAAAATGATACTTAATATTTTAAGATGAAGGAATTTAAGTTCTTAGTTAAACAATGACAAGATGAAGAGCTTTTTATAGTGAAATATCAAATTAATTCTTCAAACTTGGTTGTTTTTATTTTATAAGTAGTTCAAATTTTTTACTTAAAACTTCCACTTTAAGTAATGAGATATTTTCTAGATAAATTTATTTAACATAATGTTTGAAAACTTTTCTGTCGTTTATTTGACGTAATTTTGAGCAAATATTAATTCAAGTTGAGACTTTTGATTATGATGAAGCGGATGAAGGATTTTTTTGCTAGTTAAAAGATAACGAGCTAACAAAGATTTCTCTAGCAGTGAGATTGAAAATTCATCGGGGGAGGAGCGGGGTCAATAACGTAAACTTAATATTAAAAGTAGATTTTAATTTAATTTTTGTTATGATTAAGGTTAAAAACTTTATTGACACATAATTATTTATTATGTTGCCCCTCAAACAATTCTCAAAAAACAATTTGCGTTCTTTGGAAAAAAATGAATAAATTTTTATTAAGAAAATAATCATTAGTCAATATAACCATTAACATTTAAATAATAAAATGACATGAAAACATCTTTGTAACTTTCAGTAATAAAAAGTAAATATTCTTTCTGTAAAATTGCCAAATTAATATTAAGAAAAATTTTTTCGATAAATTCATAAGCAAAAGTAATGATAAGAAAAACAAAATTGTATATAATAGAAAATATGAAACTTTTTTATCACTTCCACGTATATAAGAAGGAAAAGAATTTTTATTAGTTTTTATCGCAAGATTTTTTCCTCTTTTTCCGATTTGACTTTATTGTCCATACATAATAATGATAAGGAAAAAAAGAATGAGAATCAAATTATAGGCGATAATATCCAATAATAAAATAATGATAAAAATAAAGAAATGAGACGATTAAAGATGTTCAATGTTGAAAAAGAAAGTTACAAATTCTTTTTTTATTGATTTTATTTTTGCAGGATTGTCTTACTTCACTCCACGATAAACTTTAAAAGTCATTCTAAACTTCGTTCAGAACACTTAAAATCTTGAGGTAAAAATTTCCAAAATAAAATTAAATCCCTTGTTTCTCTGTGACTTAAAGTGAATAGTTGTGTGATTAAATCCTGGTCCACCAGCATACAACTGTGCATAACCGCCTTTATTTTCATGCATTTGATCCGTGATTCTTATAGCTGTGATTGTTCGGTTATTTTTTTGATACTGTTGTGGAAATTCAACATCAAGTGTTGCAACTTGTAGAAAGGATGATGATTTTTTGACAATATCATGAAACAGAAGCACGTCGTATGGTCCAACTGTTCCCCATGTCATGTTCGTTGATGTTGTCAATCCCAGCAAGGATATAAAAATTGTCGCAATAAGTATTAAAGTCTTCATTTTTTTCTGAATGATTTTTGTTCTCTTTTTTTTGTATATTGCACTTAATGGAAGTAAACAACTGAATGAAAGTGGAAAAATCGAGGCAATCACATTTATATCAACTATGACGTGATAAACAAGTTGTTGTACACAATTTCTTAGATAAATAAATTTATTTATCATTATTTCGTCATTGTACACAGCTTCAAGTACATTCTATAATGTAGAAATGAGACGCTCGGCAGAAAATTATTATTCAGTGAGCAGTGATTGTATTTTGATTTTGATTGATGATTTTCTCTTACAAATTACCACTTATCTTTGGTTTTGGATAAAATATTTATTGACATAACTTTTAGAAAAGTTCAAAGGTATTTCACATTAATTGTTCACTTACTAAAGTCATTTATGCTTTTGAAAACCGATTAAGTAAGCTGAGTATTTTAGGATGTTTTCAAACTCCAACTATTGCAACTTTAAAAAATCAGTAGTTTTCGTAATATCTGTAGTGAGTCATAATATCACTTAGACAGACATGTAACAAATTTATTGGGCAAGATAAGATATTAAACAATGAACAAATGTTGATGATAGGTTTCTGTGAATCACAAAGTCAAATGCTATTGTGCTTGTGTATAAGAAATATTACTATAGACACATACTGTTTTTTGATATTCTGAACCAAAAAAGTTACAAAAACGACTTCATTAATGTTATCAATGACATTGTTCTGCCCATGATTAAGCTACACATTGGCAGTGCCGCGTGATACATCATAGATTCAATTTTCAGTTCCCTCTTGGTTCTCAGCATAATAATAAGATAATTGCTATCGACATTGTAGCAATCCTTACAAATTTCACTTGCACAATCCATGATTTTTTGTCCACCATATGAATAAATCATAAGGTCCAATAGACTTGCTATTCCATGGAACAGAATCGGAATAAAATCAAAAAAGTTCTCACTAAGGCCGGCTTCAAGAGCAAGAACACAGAAAAGCACTGACAACACTAAATATTCTCCAAAAATGATTGGGTTGAAAAGTCTATTAATGTGCTTTGCTAGGTTCAATACTTTTTGGTGATATTCGACAAATTCTTTAACTTCTAAATCGTGGATGACAATTTTAAGGATTTCAAAATGAGCGCAGATATTCATACAGATTCCGAAGAAAGTCGTATCAATCAGAAGCTGGAAATTTAAGTTAATTTTAAACTCTTTAGAATATTATTCAAATCTTACGTTTAAAAATGCAGTAAGGTAGCAGTTATAGCATTGAATTAAATATGTTAATGTATAAGCTGGAACCTTTCTGGTATCATAGAAGAAGTTAACGTCAAATACTAGCAAAAATGGAAATGGTTCACCAAAAACAAGGCAAACAACTGTATTCCTGACCATTGGTAGAACATTGTAGCTAACAACAGCAATCAAGCATGGTCCAAACATCAATAAGAAAACCGTTCGATCAAGTTTGTTGGCATTTTCTATTGGAACTTTTTGACCCTTTAATATCCCTGTTTGAATTGTTTTAGAAACTATGTATCTTTTTAATTCAAAAACATATATACTTACAAATTAAATTCAATTCCTTTACTTGATGAATGATACCGAAAATATCTTTCATATAAGTAAGAAAGAATAATAATTTTGTGAATCCCATGGTGGTTGTAACAAAATGCTTAAGATCTTCGGTTATCTCTGACCATTCTAAATTGAATCTCGGAAAAAATGTAGTCAGACTAAAAATCATCACTATAACTGAAAAAACCTGAAAACGTTTAATGTGCTTCTCCCATTTTTCCGAAGGAGATTCAAAAATCAAAAAGGTTTTTGACAACTTAATCTGAAATTCTAATTCAGGCTTCATGCTTCTTCAAGTGAATGTCTTCACAGTGGTTGACAAAGAATGTTACTAAAATGTCTAATTTAGAAACTTGAATTTTATTTAAACTTATTAATTTTTGAAACATTTAAAATGACTTTATTAAAGACAATTTTCCAAATTGACAAAAAAAATGAAAACAATTTACAATTCAAATTAAATATTTAATTCAATTCTGTACTGCAAAGTTCAAAACTACTTGCATTTTTAATATCGGGGATACTTTGAATTTCCTTATAATTTATTTTAAAATTTCCAAAAGACATGTACACAAGCTCAAACGACGATTCTTTTTTTTTTAACGAACTTTGAATATAATGATGCACATCTTGCATGGACCATCCAGTTAACAGCTAAAGGAACAGAAAAATATTTCCTTTCTTTAAAAAATATTAAATGAAAGATTCCAGCAATGTAATCATTGACATTGTTCGTCCCATGATTAAGCTAAATGTGGGTAAAGATGCATGATACATCATTGATTCCACTTTGTATTCATGCTTAGTTCTCATCATTACAATGAGATAGTCCTTATTGATCTTGTAGCAATCCTCACAAACTTTATTTGCATGATCCATGATAATTTCGCCTCCATAGGAATAAATCAGTAAATTAATCAAAGCAGCTGTTCCATGAAACATCATGGGAACTGAATGAATTAGATCCTCACTTATAACGACTTGAAATCCTATGACACAGAAAATAACCGAAAGGATCAAATATTCTCCGAAAATTACGATTCCAAAGATTTTGTTTAACTTTGTTGCTAATTCAAGAGTTTTTTGATGATAGTCCACGAATTCTTTCACATTTATTTCATTTATGATATTTCTAAGAATCTCGAAGTGTGCACAAATGTTGATGCAGCTTCCGAAAAAGAAAGTGTCGACTACAACCTGTGTAAAAAAATTGAGAGAATTATCAAACTAAATTATGATTACTCTATATGGTTCATAATAACGCAATATAAAAACTATACTAATATTCCTGATAGATGATATACATATTCATTCATTGAATCGGTTTTTTCCTATACGTTCTCAAAATTTTATTTAACTACTAATATCAACTTACATTTTGCATGCCAGACAAAATGCTGTTATATCCTTGAGACAAGTAAAGTATCTGGTACAACGGGAAATACTTGTACTCAACATAGTACGTAGCATTGAGTGGCATCTCGTATGGAAATGGTTGATCCATGAAAAAATAAGTAATTAAGTTTTTAATCATTGGAGCTGTACAGTAGCCTGTCGTAGCTGAGCAACAGGCTAAGAACATTGTCATAAACACGAATCTGTCCATCTTGTTAGCTTTGTCAATAAACGAATGTAGTTCCTTGAACTTCCCTTAATTGAAAAAAGAAAAACGTGTGTACTTTGACATGATCCAGAGATTAATTCCATTTAAAACTACTCACATTTCTTATTTAAATCCTTTACTTCGTGCATCAGTTGAAAACACTTCTTTGCACTTATCAAGAAGAACATGTATTTTAAATTGGATAGAACTGTAGTTACCAAGTCCGCAAGATTCTCAGTAATTACAAGGATATGGTAGTTGGGCCTTGGACAAAAGACTATTATGCTGAATGTCTGAATAAACAAGATAAAATATTGATGAGCCTTGAGAAATTTAATCCATTTTTCAGGCGGTGACTCAAAAACGCCCATAACTTTGGCAAGTCTGACTTGATAGGTAAATTCTTCAATCATTTTGTTTTTTTTCAGACGAAATCCTTTTAGTGTTGTTTGTTGACGACAGCTTAACTACAAATAAATTACAATTTTTGGAATAACTTTTTACAAAATTTTGATCATGAATCAATATGAAGCTATAGTTTTAAAATTGTAGAGACAGGTCAGTAAAAAGCGATTGTTGATTTCTCTTTCAATTGTTAGAATATTGTGTGAAATTTTGAATTATTTATTGACCATTTATTTTATTAAATTTTACTGAAATAAACATTTCAATTAATATTACATTATAATTCTATATCATTAAAAGCACAAGTTTAAAACAATTTAAGTTTTTTCAGACAATTTCAAATAAAAAACTTAATTCAAATTTTTTTTTCTGAAAAACATATAACATGACATATTCGAAACAATTTTATAGTAATTTTAATAATGAAAGAAGTTAAACTTGCAAAGTGAAATAGTAATTCTCAAACTGTGTTCCTTAAAATAATTCAAGATTTTCCACGAAAAAAATTGCAAAACTGATATTGACCCAATATAGCAAAAGATAAATTACAAAAAATTAGAATTAAATTAAAACTCATTTATTAATCCTTACTCGAAAAAGTGAAATTAGCAACAAGAATAGCTATAGCTGATATTATTTTTTTTCAGTGAGTATAATTAATTTGTCATTAAAAATTTATTCGAGTGATTAAACTTCTTGAATGATTGAGTTTAATTAATTATCTTATCCAATTTACAAATTAATTTCTCAATCTCCTGTTGATGTAGGCATGGCAAAATGTTATTGTAGGCTTTGTTCGATTCATCAAGTGGGCATATTTTCAAGTTACGTCTCATTTATTCATCTAAACATCTTACAAGCAATTATCAAAATATATAAGGTCAATGTCATTAAACTATGTGCCACTTGTTACAAAGTTTCAACCCATTACAATTTCCTCATGATCATTCATTAAAATAATCCTAAGCACATCATGTGCTTTCGTCTCATATTCTATGAAAATTTTCAAAGAAAATCCTCATTTAATTACTTGAAATTAAAAAATGTTTTTTTTTTCTCATTACACGAATGACAATATTCTTAACGACACGTCGACATTTTTGCGCAAATTAAAAAGAAAAATAATCGTCATCATTATGAACATTTTCATTCATTTAAAAAAAACATTTACTTGAAGAAAATCACTTCCTGTTAAAAGCCAGAGTCTATATTTCTGGATAATATGCTACAAATAAAATATTTGAAAAATACTTAAACTTACTCCTTATAGAATTTTAAATCTCATTCTTGGATCACCTTGAAAATTTTGAATTAGAAATACTACAAGATAACAACGCTGTCCAAAAATAATTCTTATTCATGCACAAAAAAATATTTGTCGACATACAAAATAAAAAAAATCCCATGATGATAGTAAATATTTGAGAGAAGTCAACAGACAGTGAAAACATTGTATCGAATTTTAAGAGCACGTGAATCTTCTCTTTAACTTTACTTTTATCATGTTACATACACGAAGATTATTCTCATCTGTTTAAATAGCCAAAATGTTCTCACATTTCCTTCTGAGATTCTTTCTCATCAAAAGTTAAAAATACATGAAAAAATAATATTTGTGAGCAGAAACAACAAATTTTTTTCTTCAGATTTTCAGTTGCTTAAAGTTCCTCGCGAGATTCATTCGCACTTTTTGTGAAAAAGTTTGAGGAGGAGTAAAAAAATTGGAAAGGAAATTTCCCTTCATTAAGTTCATAGCCACCATTTTTCATCGGCTGAGTGTCTACATATATGAGAATTAAATTGAATTAAGTAGCAAGAAAGTGAATTGCCTTTCCATTAACAATATTGATTGATTGACATTGATACGACATCCAGTAATCAAAAAATTCTTCATTCTTGTCCAAAAAATATATTGTTGTTGACTTCAATCAGGAAATAATAATGTCATTATTATGTAATAATGTCTTAAATCTATAAGTTTTAAGCGACGTCAAAGAGCATAAGAGAAAGTCACAAAAAGAAATTTTCTAGGAAAAAAGAAATTGATGGAGAAAAAGCTGTGAAGCACGAGTGAACGAGAGACGAGAAGAAAAAGAAGATGATGAAAATTGTATTAATAATTTTCATAACTTTCATCGTATTTGTGGAGAAGTCACATTTACGACGCTATGATGAATATAGTCAACAACAACATGATTCTGTAAAAATTGGTATGTACGATTTTCAATTTTCTGTGTGTATTAACGGAATTTTTCGTTCTTCCTTCTTTATTTTAAATTTTAGCATTTTTATTTGAATGGAAATGGATTTTGTTTATAGCTTGTCGGGTGATCCATTTGTGTGATTTGTTTATTAATTCATGTGATACATTAGTGGTTAAATATTCGTTTAATTTAATTCTCAATGAATGTATCTCCTCTCATGAACGATTTTTCCTGAATTTTAAAAAACCAAAAAAAAAATTTTTTAATTCCCAAAATGCGTTTCCAAAACTATTCCCAAATAGTCACATCCGTACCACATTCCGTTCTGATCTATTTTTATTTTCATCTCAATGTCTCTTTCATCTTTCTTGCAAAACACTGCGACACGCTTCTTCTCATCTCATTTGTGATATTCTTTTTTTCAATATCTTCTTTCCTCGCAGCCACTTGATGATGACGACGGAAATTCCCTACAATTTTTTCTCTTTTCTCTCTGCTATGTATGTTGTTGTTATTATTAACATACATTTTTGTTGATGTTGTTTAACATACAGCATCTCGTGTGTGTGCTTCACACTCTATTTGCAATGTTTTATTTTTGCTTTTTTGCTTCCTTTAATTCATAAATTTCATTTCTTCTTTCTTTCTTGCTTTCATTCTGATGTCTCATTCTATTTTATTATTTATTTACATACAGGTGGTCTCTTTGATGATGATTTAGATACACAGATTGCTTTTAGATATGCTGTGAAGAAGACGGGTGAACTAAGCATGAATTTTGATACCTATAGAAAATTAAATGCTGGTAATATTGATTAATCAAAGTCTTTTTATAGCCATGCTGTATCAAAAACTCTTTTTAAAAATCTAGTTAATCGAGAAGTAACTTCCGGTGATGAGTTTGAAGCTTCAGTCAAAGTTTGTGAAATGATTATGGTAAGAAATTTTAACACAAGTCTTAATACCTTTAAAATATTAAAACTTTCAAGGAAAACAACATCATAAATTTCTCATTTATTAATCAGTTTCATGAAATATGAATCATAAAAAAAGTTATTGCCTGCAAAAAAATTAAATAGGTCTGAAAAAAACTTCCTCAATTTAAACTGTACATATCCACACATTTGCATGCAATTGAATTTTTATGATCGTTTTCTCACAAGTTTTATTATTTCTCAATCAACACGAATGTTCCAATAAAATTACAATTTACAATTAAAACAATTAGAGCAACGATCACAAGCTGATTTTCCTCTCATCTTCACTTTCTTAATTTAATTTTAAACAAATTTTCTTTTCTACTGTAAACATTTCAATAACGGTTTATTCCACTTGAGAATTGAAATAAAAACAATCATAAAAATTGTTTGGATAGGATTTTCTATATGCTGTGTATTTTAAGAATATAATTGAATATTTGGATCGAATTTTTGGTTAATATAAGGATTTTTTTTAATCAGAAAAACAAATTTCTTATATGCTCCGGGATAGAGGTCCATAATCTCAAAATAAATCATGCAAATCTGATTTAATAATGAAAGTATTAATGATTAAAGTTTCGATATGGATAATCCATGGAAAAATTATTTTGAAGCCCACATGATTGATTGAAATCGCTAATAATTTCCTATCAAGTTTTTCAAATAAATCAAAAGCGTTTGTTCAAAAGTTCTCGTGCCTTTATATAAACTGCACTCATTTAAAAACTGGGGAAGAAAAGAAAAATGCAGTAAATCTACAGATTCATCAGAAAATAAATAATGCAATTCCTTTAAGTTTATTCATCATAAAATTTTTATTAACATGCAAATATTTTCATTCAATTTACAGAATGGTGCTCTCGGAATAATTGGACCAACGTCACAAGAGTCATCAGTACATGTACAAAATATTTGTGATGCGAAAGAAATTCCTTTGATTGAGACGAGAATTGATGGATCATCGAAGAATTTCATCAATTTACATCCCACACCGATAGATCTTGGCAGGGCGTACTTAGACATCATAAATGAATGGAACTGGCAAGGTTTTACGATTCTTTATGAAGATTCCCCGTGGCTCCCTTTAGTTGATTACATCATGATAAATTATAAGAAGAGATTTCCGATATTTGTTCGACAATTACATGTCACAGCCGATGGCAATTACCGTATGCGTTTGAATCAAGTAAAACGATTTGATGCTGAAAATATTGTGATTTGCAGCTCAACTGATAAGCTTCCGGAAATTTTAAAGCAAGCACAGCAAGTCGGTCTCTTGAGTGAAGGACGAAATGTACTAATAACATCACTAGACATGCACACTATTGATTTGGAACCATATCAATATGCAGGAAGTACAATCGTTGGTTTTAGACTTCTAAATATCGATGATCCAGACTTTATAGCTACAACAAAAGAAATTTATGAATATGCTGAAAGAAATCCAAAGCTTTTAAAGCCTAAAGAGCAGCAGCAAAGTACTTCAAGTTTTTATAGAGATGATCCCAATCAAGTTGATCTAGTTCCTGAAGGATTAACAACCGAGAAAATGCTCGTGTCAACAGCACTTACATATGATGCGGGTATGTGTTAATTAAATTTTAATGCTCATGATAATCAAGCTTCTTCTTTCACACATAGCCATTCTTTTCTCCCACGCAATGTCAAAGTTCAGTGAAATTCAGGCACACAAGAAAATTGACTGTAAAAATCCAGAATCAACTTTCATTTACGGAAATTCAATTTTCAATACCATGAAGACGCTCAATTTTAAAGGTCTTAGTGGTGAAATACATTTTGATCAGCATGGAAATCGAGAACATTTTCAATTGGATGTCCTTGAATTGTATTCGGATGGGTTAAAGAAAGTGGGTATTTGGAATTCTAGTGAATCAGTTGGACTTCAAATAAATTATGAGAGCAACAAGGAAGTCATAAATGATGCAAATATATTCAGAGGGAAGGTTTTAAAGATTTTGACTGTTGTTGAAGTAAGATCGAATGTGAATTACTAACAAAATAATCCGTTAATAATGTCTGAGTTAATTTTAGAATCCTCCATACGCGATGAGAAAGGAAACCTCAGAACCACTTAGTGGAAACGATCAGTATGAAGGTTTTGGAATTGAACTTATTGAGAAATTAGCTGCTAGAATTGGCTTCAACTATTCATTTGAGCTACAAGAGGATCGAGGTTATGGAAATCCAATTGACGAAAATAAGCTGCAATGGAACGGAATGATTGGTGAATTGATGGCTGACAGAGCTGATTTAGCAATCACTGACCTTACAGTTACGTCAGATCGTGAAACAGCTGCAGATTTTACAATGCCATTTATGGATCTTGGTATTCAAATTTTGTTCCAAAAACCAAAAAAAGAAGATCCAGATCTTTTCTCGTTCCTCCAACCATTCTCAGCTGGTGTTTGGGCTTGTGTTATTGGATCATTCTTTTTGGTCTCAATTTCACTTTTTATAATGGGACGAATGTCGCAACAGGAATGGGACAATCCATATCCATGTGTAGAAGAACCAGAAGTGTTGCTTAATCAATTTACGCTCAAAAATGCTATTTGGTTCTCAGTTGGAGCTGTACTTCAACAAGGTAGTGAAATTGCGCCAAAAGCACCATCTACGAGACTTGTAGCTTCAATCTGGTGGTTCTTTACATTAATTATGGTTTCATCTTATACTGCTAATTTGGCTGCTTTCTTGACAATTGAAAATCCATCACCAATCATTAGCAACGTACAGCAGCTGTATGAAAAAGGCAAGCAAGGAATCGTAAAGTATGGAGCAAAAAAAGGTGGAAGTACACTGTCGTTTTTCAGGGACTCAGAGAACGAAATGTACAAAGAAATGTACTCCTACATGATTAGTGATGAAAATTTGATGATGGATTCGAATGATGCAGGACGAGACCGTGCTAAGATAGAAAAGTATGCATTTCTAATGGAATCCTCAACAATCGAATACATCGAGCAACGTCATTGTGAAGTCGCACAAGTGGGAGATAAACTTGATCAGAAAGGATATGGAATAGCTATGAAGAAAGGTAATAGAAACATGCACTCAAGTTTATGAATTATTTATTTTCAATAATGGGTTTTCTTTTCTTTTTAAGGTTCCCCATATCGAGTCATTCTTGATGAGGTCATCCTTCAAATGCAAGAGTCTGGCGAGCTTGCACGAATGAAAAATAAATGGTGAGTACCGACTGAATAAGCAAGCATTCTCTCATTCTTAATATATTTAAGGTGGCGTGAGAAGCGTGGAGGTGGTGCCTGTGTAAGTAAAACTGCTCATTGTAATTTCAAATTAGGTGACAAAAAATTTTAAAGGAAAATTAACTTTTCAAGTCTGTTACTGAAATATAAGTGAATTCTTTAAAGAAAGTCTACTTCAGCTTGATCAACATAATCTTATTGTGACAGTTAACAACAACTGCCTTTGACTTGTTATGACTTTTATTAGAATGATGTGATTCTTGGGAGATAAAGAAGAAGTTTCGAGTCCGGAATTAAATTATTCATTCAAATTTTTGATGAAACTTAAACAGTTTATGTATAGCTACTGTGATACAGTCGAAGATGAATAATACATTTGAAAAAAAGTAATTAGAGTTTTTTATCGACCTGTAGATTTTCAAGCCCGAAAAAAATTAAACATTTATCAAAATAAAATCTATCCTCAATTCTCATAACAAATCATTTGACACAACTTCTCATTAAAATGTTTCAAATGGCATTTTAGTAAATTTGTCAAAAAAATAAAGTTATTTGAATAATTTTAAATCCCTTAATGACCACAATAATGTGATTCCAAAAGTTTTTCGCATTAAAATCCAACAAATGTTCATAATATTATTTTTACATAGTTGACTTAAAAGCTTCTCCCATCAAAATAGTAGCAATTGTGGTGATAAAAATTAATGTCTCTTAATTTTCTGTTTTTCTCTTTAAAAAAAATCTATGAATTTAGAGCTCTGACGACAGCGGTGGTGGTGCTGATAAATTGGGCATGAAAAATGTCGGTGGTATTTTCGTCACAGTATTTATTGGATGTGCAATTGCCATTACACTTGGTTTATTCCGATGGATATCAAACATCAGACTAACTTCTAAAAAATTGGAAGTAAGAAAATTTAAAATTTTGAAAATTTGTTGGAAAACCTTAACTCCATTTGTGTCCATTTTTAGATCTCATTCAAAGAAGCTTTTCTGGATGAGTTTAGATTCTTTAAGCAGTTTGGTACTCACGTAAAGACAGTTCCGAGGAAGAACTCATCACAAGGTGGCTCAGTTGTGAGTTCCAATACATTTCACTCGAGAGAACGCTCAAAATCACAGGGAATTAATCATGAGCCATTAAGAATGAGCATGAAAAGTTTAAACAACAATCATAAAATACATCGGCATGAAGATATTAATGAAGATGATTTAATTTAAAACTTTTGGAGAGTAAAAACGAGTTGAAAACTTTTGATGATGATGATAGTATTACAAAATGTTGTGGGATGCCAAAAAGAAACCACATAATACATTAAATGAATATTAATGTAAGGCTAAAGAGGACATTCAAAGTCAACTATTACTGTTTGAGTTCTGACTGCTAAATATCAGTTTTATGAACAATTCATCAAAAAATTCATCATCATAGTTTTTAACTGAATTAAAAAAGTTTGTAACCTTTTAAGAGGCTAATTACATGTTAATTTCAATTAACATTTTTATAAGAAATCAATTAGTTTATAGAATTTGATTGTTTGTTATTTAAATTAGTACACAGTTATTTATTGAAAATTGAATTTTAAATTAAGCAAAAAATAATGTTTAAGATGATTTTACTATTACAAGCTATTACCACTATTATTGAGTTTTTGGAAATGAAGAAATCGTTTAAAATTAAAAGCTGTCTGCTTAGAAGTGAAAACAGTTAATATCAACAAATTGTCAATATATAGACTTTAAAAAGCCCCAATAAGCATCAAGGTTGCACGATATACGAAGTAAATTAAGAGGAAGAAATTACCGACAGAATTTTTCATCTACTCGACATAAACACAAAAACTAGACAATCTCTGACTGAGAAGTTCATTACCATCAAAACAAATCATTTTTCTCTCTTTCTGCGTGTAAACGATTGCAAAAATTTATTTATCTTAAAATATTATAGCTCAATAAATTTCGTTCGCACATATTTTCATGATTTTCATTGAATAATTTGCATTTTTAATTTACATAGTGATAATTGACATGAATTAATGATAAAAAAAATGTTGAAATAAAACTTTATAAAAAAAAATTAAATGCAAATTCTTTGCCTTTATTTTCATGAACCACATGTTGATATTTTAAATCACAACTCACAGAGATTCTTATTTCTTTTTTTTTCATTGAGTTTTCAGACTTTAGTGAGAGATCATTGCTCATTCTCAGCACATTCATTAAATGGGAAAATTTCTGTACAGGAAAAACAATTGAAGGACGTGGAAGTAAGCGCATTAGCACAAAATTAAAAAAATTTAAGAAAAATACAGACGTGATCTAGGATTGAAGCTGACGAAATTAAACCTTTTCAAATTAAATTCAGCATAATTAATACAAATTAATTTAATTGATTCCTCATTGACTATTAATTTTAATTTTTTAATATGCCTCCCCCAATAAATACCAAACCTACTAAACATCTCATCTCATCTTCCACAAAAAGAAGCTAATAATGCTTCAATTTACTCAAAGAAAATAAAAGAAATTAAACAAATGAGACGACGAGAATCAAATACAATCAGTAGGTGAGCGATCGCAGAGTCGTTCGGACATTTAAGTGCTTAGCTATCATAGAAATTTAGTCTCACTAGAAAGAAATCAATTAGCTCCTTACCGCAAACATTTTCCGAGAATTTTGAAAAATCTTTAAAGTGAAAAGTTGATCATGCAAATTAATGTTCTATAGCTGAAATTTAATCATAAAGTGAACAATATAAAGTTACATTTTATTGCCGGACATAAAGGAGAAGTTTAATTTTTTAATGTGACCATCGCGTAAAAATAATTTTTTTGTTTTAATTTCACTTTGATCTCATTATAAGAAAATTAACACACAAAGAAAAAAGGCAGTTTGCGTGCGTGGGGGTGAAGCAATAAAACGCAGTAAATTCAGTCATCACTTGCTTACTTTTGCAGTGATTTGGAACATTTTTTGTTCCATACTTTTATGATGAATGTAATAAAAGTTTGCATTACGGTTGCTATAGTCTTAGCTTTTGCTGGCAGATCGCATCATCAATCGATAAAAATAGGTAAAATTATTGGGTTATTGGATCAAGTGATTTTGTTCTCACTAATCTCTTGCAAGGCACTACTCAAAAATTACTAGAGGCTAAAACTTAATCATCGTAACAAGCCTACTTCCAAGAAAAACAACTTGTATTACACCGAAACTTTATTAATCCTATTTTTCAACAGATTATTTTTATGATGATGAGATCTTCTTCGTCTTAACCTCCTCAATCTTCTTTACGATGCTTCCTAATCATCATAAATTTTTAATTTAATAGCGAGATTGATATTTGAAATGTTTATAATTGTGAAAAAAATTTATATCAAACAGAACGGAGTAAGATGAGAAGAGGAGAAAAACACTCGCTTTTGTTCCAATTTATGTAGACATTAGTCGGATTTTTTTCAATCTTCAACTAGACCTGTCTTACACTTTTCTTCATCTTTTCTCAATGAAACTCAACCATGTGTGTTTTTTTTTGTGTCTATAAAGGCAACATATTCCCTAACAATAGCCAGCTGAAATTTCACACTCTCAAATATTTTCACATTTTATTATTCATTTAATTTTTGTTCAGTTCCTTTCAATTCAATTTCACAAATGAGCGGCGCACGTAGTTAAAGAATTTCAGAAATGATCGAAATGCCGTGTTTTAATCTTTTCTCGCTTGTGATTCTTCTTCACTCGACCGGTGATGTGATGTGTCTTGTTTTTAAGCCATTTTTAAGCCGGTTGATCAAACATTTTCTTTGCTTTGTATCACAAAGTATTGTTTGCGGCATTTAAATTTGAGTATTTCATCCCCGATTACATTTTCAGGCCAAGTAAAATTATATTTTTTTACAAAATTAATTAACCTGTGATAGTTAATTTGCTATAGTAAGATTCGGACCATATTTGAAAAACATGCGTTCTTGTACTTGATTTGACTATTTAATCGCATTCTACTTTAACTTCCATTAAAACACATTATTATTCTTATTCATTCACAAAAAGGCTATCTGTCAGATGGATTGGAAGAAACAAAACTAGCTTTTAAATTTGCGATAAAGAAAATACAAGAAGACAGAGGATTCAAAAATTTAGTCGGAGGTGTGTATGAAAGTAATGAACTGTTAAGTTTTAAAAGCAATTTAATGTATGTCTATTGTTTCCGCAGATATTAAAAAGCTTAAGTATGGTGATGTGTACAAGTCATATCAACTTGTTTGTGGGATGTTGGAGGTTAATCTATGTCCAAATAAGTTATATTTCAATTAAAATAAAATTATATGTCCAATTTCAGAATGGAGCACTTGGAATCATCGGTCCAACATCTCCAGAATCTGCAAATCATGTTCAAACCATTTGTGATACTAAAGAAATTCCACTGATAGAGACAAGAACAGATGGTCCTTCAAAACATTTTATAAATTTACATCCAACGCCAGAAGATCTTGGTCGAGCATATTTGGAGATTATTGATGCAATGAATTGGAAAGGATTCACAATTCTTTACGAGGATACGCCATGGCTACCGATGATAGAGTATTTACTTACGAATTATAAGAAGAAATATTTGGTTACTGTGAAGCAGTTGTCAGTCACACCTGATGGAAATTACAGGAACAGATTAATGCATGTAAAGTGGTCACAGATAAAGAATATAGTCATTTGCAGTTCCATTGAGACTCTTCCTGAGATATTAAAGCAGGCACAACAAGTTGGTTTATTGAGTGATAAGCACAATATACTAATCACATCACTAGATATGCATACTATTGATTTAGAACCATACCAGCATGGAGGTACAAATATTACCGGAGTACAGCTATTAGATCCTGAAAATGCTTATGTTAAAGAGATTGTTGACGACTTTCAACGGATGTACTTTTCTGTATTATCGGATGGAGACAGAATTGAAGGGTTTGAAGAAACTTTTCCACCAGGATTAAGTGCTGAAAATATGAGAGTTGAAACAGCTTTAGTATTTGATGCGGGTAATTTTTAAACTTTCTGATCTTTGGTACATGAAGTTCAACTATTTCAATTCAACTTCTAGTGCTTCTTTTTGCAAGCGTGATGAACAACAATCGAGGCATTCGTCCATCAAGAATTGATTGCAGTGATCCAGAATCAATTTTCATCAATGGAACCTCGATTTACAACTCAATTAAGACTATGACTTTCAAAGCTCTAAGTGGTGAGATTCAATTCGATCAACAAGGCAATCGAGAAAATTTTGAACTGAATGTTCTCGAGTTGGTTTCGGATGGACTTAAAAAAGTTGCTTTATGGAATTCTGGGAAATCAAATGGACTACAAATATTTAGAGAGCAGTCTGACATTTTGACAAATGAATTGGATATTTTCAAGGGAAAAGTTTTAAGGATCTTGACCGTAGATGAGGTGAGAAATTTTTATCATCAGGAGCCTAAATTCAGTGAGCTGAAAATTCAAAATTTTAAAATTTTAAATACCAAAAATTGACAGATATTTCACTTTAAATTAAATACAGAACCCTCCATACGCTATGAGGAAAGAAACATCACAAACCCTTTATGGAAACGATCAATATGAAGGATTTGGAATCGAGCTAATTGACAAGCTAGCTCTTCGTTTGGGCTTTAACTATACATTCATGTTGCAAGAAGACCGAGGCTATGGAAATCCTATAAACGAAACGCATTGGGACGGAATGATTGGAGAATTAATGGCTGATCGAGCTGATTTAGCTATCACAGATCTCACAGTCACATCTGATCGAGAATTAGCTGCTGACTTTACTATGCCATTTATGGACCTTGGTATTCAAATTTTATATGAGAAGCCAAAAAAAGCAAATCCAGATTTGCTGTCATTTATGGAACCTTTATCTAAAAGTGTATGGACATGCCTTGCGTTATCTGTTCTTGCTGTTTCTGTTTCTTTCTTCATATTAGGTAGAATGTCACCAAAAGAATGGGATAATCCATATCCATGCATTCAAGAACCGACAACTCTTCAAAATCAATTCACTTTAAAAAATGCAATGTGGTTCACAATAGGTGCTATTCTGCAAGAAGGAAGTGACATAGCACCCAAAGCACCATCAACAAGAATCGTCGCATCAATTTGGTGGTTCTTTACACTTATTATGGTATCGTCATACACTGCCAACTTGGCCTCATTCTTAACAGTTCAAAAAGCACCACCAGTAATCACAAGTGTCAAAGATCTCATTAGAATGGCTGACAAAAAGGAAGTAACTTATGGAGCAAAAAAAGGTGGAAGCACATTTAAATTCTTTGAACTATCTGACAATCCTGATTATCAGCTCATGTATCAATACATGATGAAAAATGAGAAAACTGTTTTAGTCAGTAGCAATGACGATGGAGTAGCCAGAGCTAAAGCAGGAGGTTATGCATACTTGATGGAATCATCAACGATTGAATATATTGAGCAGCGACATTGTGAGGTTGAAAAGGCAGGGAATAAGTTGGATCAGAAGGGGTAAGTAGTTATCATCTGCAAAATAAGAGTATATCAACTGACTGTTTTCTTCAATTGCTTGTTCAGGTATGGAATTGCAATGAAAAAAGGTAAAATTTTTACTTAAAATTCTCTACGTCAAAAACAAATAAATTTTTTGTCTGGCGTAAAATTCAGGATCACATTTTCGGGGGCCACTGGATGAAATTATTCTACAAATGCAAGAGTCTGGTGAACTTCAAAGAATGAAAATAAAATGGTAAGATCCACACAAAGGTAATCTCATCAATAAACCATTACACAGAGTATGTAATTTCATGATGTAGGTGGAGGGAAAAGCGTGGCGGTGGGGCGTGTGAAGGAAGTGACTCAGCTGGAGCGCCAAAGCTAACATTTGATCATGTTAAAGGAATCTATATTGTCCTGTTCAGTGGTTGTGGCATTGGAACAACGATGGGTGTCATTCAATGGTTTTTGAGTGTTAGAAGAAATGCAAAGTTGTTAGATGTAAGTTTATAATATCTTATAAAATAGCAAAATCCAAAAATCTTGTTCAATTTAGGTCCCATTCAAAATACTATTCAAAGAAGAACTCCACTTTGTGTTAGATTTTAAGAAAAATGTAAAACCACGTCGTAAAAGTTCAACACAATGTGATACATACGATTCAGCACAAGGATCAAACGAAGAATCAGAATCACGGTCAAGATCAAACAGCACATTAACTGATCACCAACCTCATGCATTGCGATTTAGCATGAAAAACATTCACAAGATTCATCCGAGAGAAGGTGACAATGCTTAATGAAATAATATTTGAGATTGTGAGAATCTCGTGAAAAATTAATTAAAATTTCTCAGAAAATTGCATAAATTTTCTCAGTTTTGTAAAAATATTCAGACAGTGAAGATGCACATGCAGTCAATAAAGAAAATTTTCTTGTGAAATTTTTAAAAAAATTTTCATGTTTTTTATTAAAACAAGCTTAATTACAAAAGTTTAACACTGACCCATCCACAATGTCTCTAATGAAATTGATTTTCTTGGTAATTTTCATTGTCTCGTCGATAAATGCGAAAAAGAGTCAACGCGATCTTATAAAAATAGGTGAGTGCATAAGCGTCGCTATTTTTATATCCGCATCACATTAGAAGAAGAAATATAAATAATGAAAAAGATGCGACACAGAAAATAGATACAAAATTATTCTGTGCCAATGCTGCCTATATGTGTATGCACATTTAGTTCATGCACTTGTAAAGTTCATTGCCCTTTCTCATTTGTGTTTTCCTTCCTTAATAACATAAATCAGGTGGTTTGTTTGATGAAGCAACCGAAGATACAGAAAATGTCTTTAAATATGCCGTTGAGATCATGAACAATATGCGAGATCCTTCCGATGGTCATTTAGAAGCTATTACGAAACGAATAGAAGTTGGAAATGAATTTGATGCATCAAAAAACTTATGTAAGCTTATGAATAAAGGCATAATGGGTCTACTACACGGTCCACTATCAAATAATGCTGCAACACACGTGCAAAATATATGTGATGCAAAAGAGATGCCATTAATTGAGACTAGATATGATCCATCCACACAACAGCCAGTGATTAATTTATATCCACATCCTTCTATGCTTGCCCAACTATATTCTGATTTAGTGAACTCGTTTGGATGGGATAGTTTTACAATAATTTATGAGAATACGGCTTGGTACGTATCATGTTTCGTGGACCTGATAGAAGATTATCAATTTTTTTTTTGTGGTCTTTCTGGACATCAAAAATACAAATCCAAACTTAGTTTTATAAAAATTCTATATCTAGTCCATTTTTAAGGTACAAAATACACATCAATCAATAAATTTATTCCCTAAAATTTTCAGGCTTCCAATAATGCACGAGCTTATAAAAAAGTACGACAACAAGGGCTACACAGTTACGGTAAGGCAGTTGGATTTGATAGGAAATGAGAATTATCGACCACAATTGAGACGTGTTCGATTGTCAGGTGATAAAAACATCGTACTCGGATGTTCTGCTGACATTTTACCAGAGGTATTGAAACAAGCTCAACAAGTTGGCTTACTTACCGATCAATTTCAATTTATTATTACATCACTTGACATGCACACGATTGATTTAGAGCCATTTCAACATAGTGGTACGAATATTACAGGTGCTCGCATGATTTCACCTGATGATCCGTTCGTAAAGGAAATTACTGACTTTTTTATCGAAAAGTATAAGAGTGAGAAAGAAAATAAAGAAAAAACAAGCGACGATGATGACGAAAATGAGGATAATGACGATGAAAATGAGGAAAATGACGATGAAAATGAGGAAAATGGGGATGAAAACGAAGAAAATAATGAAGACAATGAAAACAATGATAATGAGGATGAAGAAAGCAATGACACAAATGAAAATGAAGAGGAAGAGGATGAAATTCCTGAAGGCTTAACTCCCGATAAAATGCGCCTAGACACAGCCTTAACATTTGATGCTGTCATGTTATTTTCCCAAATCGTAAAACTTAGTGACTCCGTTCAGTCAAAAAGCATCAAATGTGACGATGATTCACAACAACGAGCTCACGGCATATCCGATATAATGGCAATGAAAACTGTCGATAAACGCAGAGTCAAAGGACTTACAGGAAATATTCATTTTGATCAAAAAGGACATCGTTCAGAGTTTTTGGCAGAAATCATAGAATTGGCATCAGACGGGATACAAAAAGTTGGCGTATGGAATTCCACTGATAGCGAAATATATCTTACAAGAGCACACGATTTTATGAGCGGTTTCGGAGATGAAATGTCATTAAGAAACAAAAGTTTTCTTGTCTTGACTGCTTTGGTGAGACTAATGACCTAGAAGATCCTGAGCTTTGGTTATGGTTGTCCTACTTAGTTTCCCTAATTGACTTAAATCTTAAAAGTTCGTTAAAATTTTAATTATTTTTTAATAATCCCAATCATTACTAGCCATAAAACAATTCGTAATCAAATTTCAATTCTAGAGTGCACCATACGGAATGTTAAAAGAAACACCAGATACAATGCTCGGAAATGACCGTTTTGAAGGATTTGGCATTGAATTGATTCAAAAGCTCTCAGAAAAGTTGGGCTTTAATTACACATTCAAGCTACAAGATGATGGTGCTTATGGATCATATAACAGAGAAACTGGAGAATGGAATGGAATGCTTCGAGAAATAATGGATGGTCGAGCTGATTTAGCCATTACAGACCTTACAATCACATCCGAACGAGAAGGTGCTACCGACTTTACAATGCCGTTTATGAACCTTGGAATATCGATTCTATTCGAGAAGCCAAAGAAAGAACCGCCACAGCTTTTCTCATTTTTGTCGCCATTTTCTGGAGAAGTTTGGATATATTTAATTGGAGCACTTGCATTCGTTTCATGCTCATTATTCGTAATGGGAAGATTATCTCCAGCAGAATGGGACAATCCATATCCATGTATTGAAGAACCAGAAGTCCTTGAGAATCAATTTAGTATGAGAAACTCAGTATGGTTTTCAATTGGTGCTTTGCTGCAACAGGGAAGTGAAATTGCACCCAAGTATGATGATAAATGTGAATATACATTTCAAGCTGAATAAACATTTTTGTTATCAATTTTTTGCAGAGCTCCATCCACTCGAATTGTTGCTTCAACTTGGTTAGTATACTAGGTGCCATAATTTACTTCACTGACTGTTATTCTAAAATTTGCAGGTGGTTTTTCACACTTATTATTGTGTCATCATATACAGCAAATTTAGCTGCATTTCTTACTATCGAATCTCTATCAACACCAATTGAAGATGTCGAGGATCTCGCAAATGCTAACGGTGCAATTCCATATGGTGCAAAAAAAGGTGGAAGTACATTTAGTTTTTTTAAAGAGTCAGAGAATCCAATTTATAAGAAAATGTATGAATTCATGAACTCTCATCCGGAGCATATGACATCAAGCAACGATGAAGGATTGGAGCGTGCAAAAGCTGGAAGATATGCATTCTTAATGGAATCGTCATCAATTGAATATCTTATTGAAAGAAACTGCGAAGTTACACAAGTTGGTGGTGATCTAGATCAAAAAGGCTACGGAATCGCAATGAGGAAAAGTATTAAACTATCGATTCTATTCAGAGACATAAAATATTAAACCTGCCAATGTACTACATATAACTTGCTTACTCATTCATTCCAGATTCACCATATCGTGGCGCATTGAGTGAAGCTGTCCTACAAATGCAAGAATCTGGCGATATAACAGCATTAAAAATTAAGTGGTGGAAAGAGAAACGTGGTGGAGGGGCATGCGATGATGCGGGTAGTGATTCCGGTGCTGAAGAGCTTGATGTTGCCAATGTCGGTGGTGTTTTCGTCGTCCTCATTTCTGGATGTACATTTGCAATTATTGTAAGTTTTCTTGAAAGCTTATTCGACATCAGAAACCGTGCCAAGGAATTGGAAGTTCCATTTATTGAAGAGTTTATGAATGAAGCTAAATTTGTCATTAAATGTCGTGGAAATGTTAAGCCCGTTCGTCGTAAATTGAGTGCTGGAACTTTAAATGAAGAAGAATCTAGGTCAATTTCAAGATCTTCGGAATCACCAAAGCGAGAAATCATAGAACCTTATGGATTTAATGGACCAAGCTTGAAAAACTTAACAAAACTAGATCTAATGGCTGATCATGACGACGATGATAAAGTTTGAAAATCCTCAATCATTTTATGATGTGCTTATTTGATTGTAGTTCCTCAATTCCTGATTAAACAATAAAGATTAGTGGTATTCCTGACAGAAATAAATTCTTCCTTACAATGTAGAATCTGCTGACGCAAACTGACCTGATTTTATTTTTTCTGCAGATTTTCAGAACAAAACTCTTTTCAGAATGGAATTGCACAATCTGGCGTCTGATTTTATTGAATAACTTTTTGTCATCATTTTAGTTGCTGTGGTATATCTATTCATATTTGTCAGGAGGGGTTTAGCTTAAATTATAATATTAATATTATTTCTTGGAATTATGATAAAGGAACTAGATTTATGATGGCAAGTATTTATAAACTAAAATTTTCAAATGTGACTTGACTTTATATTAAGGAAATTTTTCTTTGTCATTCTTAATAAAGCTAAACTATGGCATAGCCTGAAGGTAAATGACCTATATTCCAAACTAATCCTATTGTTCTTTACGATAGTGACAACTATAATATTTCATTTAGTCATCAACAAACAATAATTTCACTTATTGTACGCAAAAAGTGGCAATGTCCACAATGACGACAATTTATTCCGCATTTTCAACTTGATTAAATTATGAATGAAGAAAAAATAAAGAAATGAAATCATTTCAAATAAATCCATAAACATTGACCCATTTTTCTCTTCTTCCCTCCTTATATATCCTGATGCTGTCTAGATGTTCCCCTTGTTTTTTTCATCTTTTATTCTTTATCTGATCTATCGTGCTCTCTTTCTGCAGTTTTGATATCATAACGGAAATAAAATTTATTTGTTTTGTCGTCGTGTGTTGGACAAATTTTAAGGGAAGGAGGACAGCTACCACGGCTGATCTTTGAGATTTTGAATCGTATATACAACAAAAACAATGAATTTGACGATAAAAGCTAGTAAAAACTAGAGAAAACACGTTAATTTAGTTCCGCTGATTTTTACAATTTTTTTGCAATATCAAACAACTCATCTGTCAACGGTTTTGTCACCATTTTTAAAAATTCAGATACCAATATAGCCATACACTCACTCTGTTTATTAGTATTCCATATCACGCTGCATAATAATGTCTTCATACTTTTCCTTATTTTCCATCATCACAATCGTCATCGCCATACAGCTTTTATACTATGCTGAGTTTTATACAAGAATTTATTTGTGCTTAAAATTGATAAAATGGTAATAAGACACAGCAAGCGTTTGACATTTTCATCTCATATTCATGCTTCATTGATGCACGAAAGAGTTGTGACAAAATTTTTGCAGTTTCATTTCGAATATTTGTTTGCTCTAGTTCCGTTCTTCGAAGGAGCATTTATCCTTTATTTCAATTGGCGAAATTAAATTTCATTTCTTTTGATGCATAAAATGAATTTTGAACTTTGTTGTCTAAGAATATGCTCTAAACTACTAACAGAGTTTCATTTGCTAATAATGTTGCAAAACATTGTTTGTTTTTGTCATATACTCGATCACGTCATAAATCAACTTTAACTTGCTGCTACACATAACTGTTGTTTAGTGAAGTTAGAAGTCATTTAGGTGTGAGTAAGAAACTGACATATGATACCAAGGAATTAAATATTTATTAAAAGATCAGTAAATTTTGGGAATAAATCCAAACCATCATTTGACAAGACCCTTGGTCGATAAATCTATTTAAAAATACGCTTTAATCCCCACAAATCAATCAATTTCTCTTCAACTTTGTTTCACGCATTCAAAAAATATTTAAAACTGCATTTAAAATTCACATCACATTTATGTACTCGCCTTGATAGACACAAAAATTGATTCACGACAGAAATGAATTGAACGTGTCAATAAAAAATGTATTATGACAGAAAAAGCGTACATAAAGCGACATTGATGAAGCGGTTCGGGTATAAAAAAAACTCATTTTTGAAAATGTTCAGGAATCAAGTGTGGCATGTCATTATACGAAAATTGTTGCCATGATAAAAAAAATATCTCATCGATACAAAAAAAATCACATTCACATCAATGTTGCTGTTTACCAGAACCACCAAAAAAATGTTTCCCTTGTTTATAGTCATCGTCATCAGTATGTAATTGACGTGAAGCACGTTTTTCCAATTTTCCAATGATCTAAATTTTGATGTCGCCGCATTTGTACGAGAAGGATAGACAGAGAATATGGGAATCTCGTTCACTGTGTCAGGTCAGAAGAAATGAAAGTATTTTCATTTTCTTTCTACGCATGCTCAACATTCAGCTTGCATTTTCCATTAGCTGCACTCACGTCAGTGGTTTCCACAAATATACCGAATGACGAAGGTCAAATTTATTTATATTTTTTTTATTGCAATTTCATTCATATTATTTTAATAAGCTGTTGATTGGTGTCGAGTGGTGTCGTAATAGACTTTATTGTAAAAATGTGAAGTCATGACACACTGTAGATTACTTTTATTTGTAAAATGATTTCGTATCAACAACATGATAACCATGTGCGATTTCCAAGCTCCAGCAACAACAATGAAGAAAAATGTGCTCCTACAGCAGCTACTTTCCCTCTTTTTTTACTATTTGAAGAAGGGAAAGAAATTTCATTGCTATGCATAGCATCAGAAATCAAACAACTGCCGCACACATAACATCAGTTGCTTTTGATCGGTTGACTGTATTGGATGTGCTTTTATTTTTATTCGTGAGTCGAGAGGAAAAATAAATCTTACGACGAAAAAATTCATGTCGTTCTGCATAATTAGATTTATTGAGAGAAGATAAACTCGTTCGATTTGTTTGTGCTCGGAAAATTCGAAAAGGCACTTATGGGAATTTCAGTGCAAAGACAAGAGAGCTTTAAATGCATATTAGCAGTTCACTAACCTTTGAGCTCTCTGTCGATGAGACAAGTGGATTTTGTTGGATTGAGAAATTTCATTAACTGTAAATTAATGTTGTCATCGGTACCGAGAGAGCATATGACTATGATTTAAACTGAGAAGTGAAAAAGAAAAATTTATTTTTTGTTGAGTGAGTTTTTCTTCGCGTTAAAAAGATTTGTGAAATGAAAATAAATCCCTTGTTGAATAAATTTTGATGAATTGACGGAATTCGAAGCTTATCAATCTCTCATTAAGAAAAAAGAAATTGAAAAAGATTTATGAAAATTGCAATAATCTTTAAATAGTGATTAAAGTATTCAAGAAATAAGTGGAAAAATATGTTTGATATGTTGAAATAAGATATTTTTAAACGTAAATTTTGAATTTGAATTTTTGAAGTTTTCAAAAAGTGAAAAATATTTAAAAAAGTCAGATAAGAAAATATATATAAGTCTATATAAATTTATATTAATTTGGAATAATGTTAAAAATATTAAAATTGCAGATCAACAAAAGAAAATTTAAAATAATTCTTAACGGAAATTAAAATCCCCCGAAAATTCAATCAATCAAAATTATTATTGTGGATTTTATAAATATAGTATATAGACCTTAAGTGAGACGTGTGATGATTAATCATGAAAAGTTTACGTTAATCTTACAACAGAAAAGAATTAAAAAGATCTCAATTTTCTCAGAGCATTAAACAATTTAAATAAACAGCAAATAATACATTTTTGTGATTTATGTGCATTCAAGTGTTAGTTTTAAGGAGCAAAAAAAGGTCATAAAGTATAATTTATAAAGTGTCGAAAATAATAAATAGGCTCCATAACATAAAAGTTTACGAATGTAATGTGAAAATTGATGGAAATAAAATAACTTTGTGGAGTGCAAACAAATTTTGTGTAGAGCAGAATAAACAGAATAAAGAAAGGTCTGAGCTAATCGATTATGTGTGGAATCCAATACTTACTATCTCACTCAATTATTAGAAAACAAATTTTCCATGCTGTTATCAGGAAATTAATTGTTAAAGCATGTGCCGATAAGCATCAGATAGATTTTCATTATGCGTGTGACTTTATTACCACATGATGTCTAACATCGAGTCAGCTGTCATGCAAATAAAATTTTAATTTGCCTTTTCGAGTTATGCTAATGATTTATGATCATTGCCATACTTTCTTTCTTTCTCTCGACTGTCAACATGTTTACAAAGAGTTTATGATGAAATTATTGATATGAGTTGTTCTTTTATGTCTTCCACAATAGTATGTAAGAGTATCTAAAGAGTTTTTAGGTTATTAAACCTTATGAATGTCCATTCTGCGTCTTTTGTCACAAAGTTTTTAAATTATCATTAATTTTTTTCCATCATGTGCAGGACGTCATTTACAAAAAGAGTCTGCATGAATAATTGGAAAACTTTTCTCGATAGTTGAGCATTCATCATCATTTGTTTCGATTTGATTCGAGTAATTCAAGCTTTGCACTTAGTTTACTCAGTTACTGCTGATATGTATCGATAAAATGTAAACGTGCGTGTTACATAGATTTGATAAAATAATCTGAAATACATCATATCATATGATAAGCTTACAAATCGAATACAATCTTTTTGTTGTACGTTTTATTGTAAAAATGAAAAATTGAGTTAAAATTTACATAACAAAGGAGGAGCTTTGGAATTTTCTTTTTATTATGTAAGTCTTTGAGGATTGAGCTTGAGAAGGTCTCTTGTTCAAATTTTAGGGTGAGATCTTAAAAAATGCACAGTTTTTTATAAAGCCTAGATTGTGTAATATTAAATTGCTATATATCAAGTGTTTCGTATGGCTAGATTGGTGCTGGATTCAAGTTCCAAGCCAGCATTACACCAGGACCAAGCCGGATTTTTTTTGTGCTTTTCAAGACTAATCGTAATTAAACGCAACCTTACATAATATAATTATGTATATAATTTTTACAGCATCATTCATTTTCAAGTTAAAAAATTTTTCCAAGAATTTATTCATTCAATTTTTTTTTTTTTGGATTACAATAAACCACATTTCCATATTCAAATAGACTTGAGGAATGAAAATAACATTTTATAGTATGGCGTAAGCAAACAAAACTGAGTACATAAAATATAAAAATGTAACAAAGTTAAGAAGAAAAATCATGTGCAATATTTGAATTTGAAAATAGGAATAGCGATGA